ATATACTTTCCATTTAATTTTTTCTCCATTCATTCATTGTTGCACATTTTCCTCCCTGCCCACCCCACCCCCCAGTTCCTTTTTCTCTTTGAAGGGGAAAAAAAAGTATTTCATTGTTATACAATTCCCCTTTAACCCCTCCCGCAGTCCATAGTCCACTTTAATATGTGTTTCTTTTTCTGCAATTGTGTCATGAAAATAATACCTAATCATATTTTGTGAAGACTGATGGTCTTGCAAACCCTGCGGACAGTCCTCCTCTGTCGCTTGAGTGTCTATGAGCCAGAATTGACTTGTTGGCAGTGAGTTATGTGGGTACATCCAGGAGCAGGATGGCTGTTTTAAAGGGACAGGAAGTCAGATACTCCTAATGTTCTATCAGGATGATGGTTTTCACTTTCCCGATGATCCTTAAAGCCGGGAGGTGTTGTTTGTCTTCAACAGGGCAATGCCTTCCAGGGCCTTCGGAAAGCAGATATTGTGGCAAAACAAAAACTCACCGAGCTGATCCAAGTCCAGGCAGAGAGGATTTTGGCCTTGAAAGAAGAGATTACCCTTTTGCGTAAGAAAGGCGGCCTTATCCTCCCACCCATTCATCATCCACAAGAGTGAAATGACGCCTGTGGACCTCTCAGTTTGCTTTCCCCCTCAAATCCATCCACAATTTTTCCACGATGTATCATTTACAATGACTTCCGTTTCCTTGTTGCGTGGGGCATTCCTATTATTTTTAAATGAACTTACCTGAAAATTGAAAACCAGATTCAGTCATGGGGTTCTAATTATTCCCCCCTATTTTGTGATCTTAGAATTTACAGCGCCTGCATTACTTATTGCACTGAGCCAGTTTAGATCTGTTTGGGACTAATTCAACTTCGGGGAGAGGATTGGTGGGCTGAGATAACATACAGAATCTCAAAAAAAAATAGAGCTGAAAACCTAGAAAGCATTTATAGAATCTGTTCTGATTTGGGAAATATTACTTTGTCAGTTATCTAAATTTTTAGGCTTTGGCAAGAAGAATTACTATTCAAAAATAAAAATGAAAAAATTATTACATAGCAATTGATGAGAAAGCTTCCTTTTCAAGCAGTCTATCTTTTAAAATAAACTTGCCTGTTTAAAAATATTCTGTGAAAAGACACAGGGGAGTAAAGAGAGAAACTGTCTTGCCAATATTATTTTAAAATAAGAAATGCAAATGTGTCATTTGAAGACTCAGGATTCAGGAAATGTGGACAAAGAGTAGTTTGCTTTGGGCTGGCAGAAGGCAGGGATGTAGCCAGCTTCCTGCATCATCTATGGCTTCACCTCCACAGAGTCATCTACTAGTTTTGATGGAGTTAGGCCTGGAAGCAAGAAAATAGATTGGGACCACTCAGAGACCATCCATAGCAATCTCTTTTGATGATATTTAACATTTTAAACGGTAAGCTAGTTCAAGCTGGTCTTATGGGTTGAATATAATTGAAATCTATGGCTGGAAGAACTGAAGGATGATCACACAGACCCTTGGACTCCTGTGAGTAATACAGGATAGTTGTATTGTGTGTCATTGGTCGATTCCAGCTTATAGTGACCCTCTTTAGGGCTCTTATAAGTTGTAGTCGACTTGACCACACCTGATAACAACAACACTTGATAGGATAGAACTTCTACATAGAGTTTCTTAGGAAACACTGTTGGCCTAGTGGTAAGAGCTGTGCTGTAATTACAATGGCACGGGGTTCAAGGCCACCAGCCTCTCCACAGGAGCAGAATGGGCAGTCTCCTCCCATGTGATTAACTGCCTTTGAAAACCTGCTGGAAAAGCTGTGGGTCAGTTCTAATTCTATGGTAGGAAACATAGTTTCTTAAGCCATTCTTTTTTTTTTTAATTTTTTTTTTATTTTATTTTATTATTTTTGTGTGAGTGTACCGTCAAATCAGATCTGACTGGTACAGAAAGAGATTGCCCCTCCTTCCCTGGCAGAGCATCTGGTGGATTCGAACCATGCGCCTCTGGGATTGTAGTTGCAGCTCCTTACCACTAGGCCACTCTTAAGCCATTCTTTATGGGAAGGGGCCTTGATAGTATGGCAATTAGAGTACTCCACAGAAGAAAGGTGGGGCACCTGTTTCTATGGAGTTTATAGCCTGGACCCTTAATAAGTTAATTCTACCCTGCCCTACAAGATGGCTGTGAGTTGGAATTGGTAACAGATAATCATTACAGGAGTGGAATTGCTGAGTCTTTTCTCTTAAGGAACTAGTAAGTGGGCTCTCTTAAAGAACCTCCAGTCTTTCCATTAACAGCTGAGTGCCTAGCCGTTGTGCCAATGGAAACACCTTACTAATACAAGGTAACACTTCACAATTCAGAGCTTTCTGGTTCCATGTTAATGACTTACTCCACTGTGGCTGTTGTTGTTGATTGCTATTGAGTCGAGCACAGCTAATAGCAACCCTATGAACAAAAGGCTTGAAGCCTTTCTATAACTATCATTATTTATCAAAGTTCATAGAGTTCCCAGAGGCATGCTGTTTAGGAAGTGGATGCTCTTCTTGCTTCCAAACCTGTCTTAAACTGGGAGCTCCACCAAACACTGTCCACCTTGGATAACCGTTATGGCATTTGACACCCCAGTGGCACATCACAGGTTCATCACAGCATAAAAAGTAAAAGAAAAATTCTATCATTGTTATACAATCTCTCCCTCCAAGTCCACTCCACTATGCAGCCTTCATTCTGGACTCCTATAATGACAATAATACCCAATCACATATCCCTTTTAAACAGTTCTCTCCTTCATCTGTTTCAATGCAGTATACATAATTTATCACATCTTTCTCACAAATGTTCTTAACATAATTTCTAATAGTAAATTCTTAATATATTTCTTATTTTTATCTCTAGCATATAACATAGAAGGTTCCTAACATTTTTTATTTTATTTCTCACACGTAACATGGCAGGTTCCTAACATATTTCTTCTTTTATTTCTCCACATAACATAGCAAGGCCCTAACATATTTCTTATTTTATTTCTAATATATAACATAGTAAGTTCTTAACATACTTCTTATTTTATTTCTCACGTATAACATAGCAGGTTCCTAACGTATTTCTTATTTTTAAATTTACAAGTTATACTCTCTTAGTAACACAGGCAGTAACAAGTTACATTCCCTTATCAGGATTCACACATGCTGAGGTCAATAGCTTTATAGCAAGTTGTTATCAGTTACATTATCTTATTAAGAGATTGTACCCACTGTGGTCAGTGTGGCTCTAGGCCTCTAAGAGGCCTATTTAGGCATGTTAAACTCTTAGTATATTTTTTCACAAATACTTCTATACTTCAGCATCACAATCATAATAATATTTTTCCACAACAGACATATTTCATAATATGTTTATAGCAAATTAACAGCCACTTAAGATATTTCATAATATGCATTATGGCAAAATTAATATATTTTGCTTGTACTTAAACTGCTCATAACAGGTCTTCTTTGAGGTCTGACTCAATGCAAAATAGCTCACCAAGAAAAGAAGCAATTTTGTTTAAATTACAAAACCATTCAGCAGTATCAAATCTTCCTAATCTGCTGATTTCCCCAAAAAAATTATGGCAAAAAAAAATTATTGCTTTCTTTATATGCTAACCTTGGTGGAAGTGATTATTTAACAATTGTCTACGATTCTTTCACATATATTTCTGTTTAAGAGGTAAGAATGGTTTAATAGTTTCTGCCTGTCACCATGAATCTTGGATGTAGCTTCCCTACTGTAAAATACACTTAGCACACTCTCTGCTGTCTCCTGTAAAATGTGTGTGCCTTTAACATGATTTTTAAAATGTGCTAATGACAGCCCTGAGTAAATTATGTAGTTTTTTATTGCTGCAAAATTACTTCAAAGCTTAGCTTAAAACAATGCTCCTACCTTACCTTGTGTCTGAGAGGAGATATAAGGAACAGTTAGCTAGGTGTTTCTGTCCCAGGATCTGTCATGAAGTTGTAGTCAAGTTCTGCGTCAGAGATTCAGTCATGTGAAGCTTGCCTGGATATAGAGGCCAATTTCAACCCACTCCCCGTTGCTGCTGTTGTTGTTAGGTGCCATCAACTACGACTCATAGGGACCTTATGGGCAGTAGATCTGAACCCTGTCATATCCTGTACCGGCCTCCTACTCTTGAGCAAGAGGTAGAGGAATTGTTTCCAGACATCTTCATGTGACTGCTTAGCAAGAGGCCTCAGTGCCTCCCCAGGTAGACTCCTCCCCAGGCCTACTCACAACAGGACTCCTGCAGGGTAAGCGACTCAGGAGTGAAGGGAAGGGCAAGAGAGAGAAACTGAGGCCAAAGTTGGTCTTCTACTACTTAGTCTTGGAAGTAATACACCTTCACTTTTTCTGGGTTCTATACTAACCAGTTACCACAGAGTTGATTCTGATTCATGATGAATCATGTATGTCAGAATAATTCCTCAAGTTTTCAGTGGCCAATTTTATTTGCAGTATAAAGAGTCCCCACAAATCCTAAATGTACCTTCAGAAATTTGTACTTAAGACGGAACAGTTACGCCTAGTTTTTGTTATTGTTGTCATGTGCTATTAAGACTGAACTGACTCAGGACAGATTTTGCAGTGAGTTTTCAGAGGAGTGAATCATATGGGAGGAGATTATTCATCTTTCTTCAAGCAACTGGTGGGTTTGAACCACGCGCATTTGGTTTGGAGTGCAGCTCTTTTATCACTAAGCCACAGAGCTAGCTTCCTAATTCTTAGTTAGCTTTACTTTTTGAACAAGAAAAGGCTCAAAGCCTACACATTGACTTAAAAGTTGTGCAACCGGAAGATACTCGAATGGCCAACATGCCTAGGAAGAGATGCTCCAAGTCACTGCCAATAAGAGATGCAACTCAAAACCACAATGAGATACCATCTCACTACAGTAGCAGTGGCAAAGTTTTAACAGGACAGCAAGTAATAAATGTTGGAGAGGATGTGGCGAGATAGGGAACTCATAGTTGGTGGGATTATACAATGGTACAACTACTCTGAACGGCAGTTTAGAGCTTCCTCAAAAAAGCCAAACATAGAAATTCCATATGACCCAGCCATTCCACTGCTTGGAGTATACCCCGAGAGAATGAGAACTGAGGCTCAAACGGAGACTTGAACACCAATGTTCATAGTAGTGTTATTCACCATCTCAGGAACATGGAAACAGACCAGATGTCCAACCATGAATGAATGAATTGAGAAATTGTGGTACATTCACACAATGGAATACTATGCAGCACACAGGAGCAATGATTTTGCAAATTACTACCTAACTTGGGATGAACTGGAGAGCATTATGCTGAGTGAATTAACGCAGTCCTGCAAGGAGTAATACTGTATAAAACCATTATTGTAGAATGAATATGAGGATCCAGAGGGGGAGGGGTGTTGTAGAATCTAAGGGTCACAAAATTCTATGGGGGGGGGGTGGAGGAAATGGGAAGGATCTTGTGTGAAAAACAGTATATTTTAACTTTGTAAATAAATCAGTATAAAATTAAAAAATTAACAACAGCACACTAAAAAAAATAATGTGCAGCCAATGAAGGTGATTATGATGAAT